GTGGTCCGTGTGCGGGAACATGTCGAAGGGAACGGCCAGCGCGGGGGCGAAGGGATCTCCCGCCAGCTTCCTCCGGGCATCGGGTGGGCAGCACAACCTGCGGGCAGCGCAGCCGCAAAGGGCACGTGTGGGACCCAAAGCAGCAGCTTTCCTGCTGCGCGGCGTGGGGGATGCATTAGGTTTGGCCAACATCCATCACAGTCTGCGGCTGAGACTGGTGTAAGGGTTGCAACCCCCTAAGCTGCATCCCAAGCCAGCTCTGCTGGCCTCAGGAGAAGCCGATGGGGCAGGGGTCTGTCCCGACTGGAAAGGAAGGCAGAGGGGTGCTCACTCGAGGAAGTTCCTCATGGCTTCGCCCTCCGGCTTGCAGGAGACGTAGAGCAGCCTCCGGATGGCCCTGCAGTTTCGGAGGGCTCGCACGACCCTGTGATCTGCAGAAGCAGAAGGACACGGAGCTTGGCCAGCGCCACGGCACCCCAGGGGGCACCAGAAGGGACGGTCACAGATCCCGCAGCACGGAACTTCGCTGAGCGGAGGAGTGAAGAGAAAGGAGGGTCCTGCCTGTTTCACCGTGTCCTGCCTCAGGTGCGGGGTCTTAGGAAGGCAAGGACGTGGCTCCCACTGCCAGCAGGGCAGAGCCAAGGGAGAACGTCCTCTGTTTCCCGGGAGAACAAAGGATTAGAGAACATTTGTTAAGTGAAACAGAGTCATGGAAACCTTCCCGAAACACCTGTGTGGCCACATCTGCATGCCCCATCCCATGTAGGGCTCCCCAGCGAAGTGCTTGACGTTTTCATTCAAAACTCTCTTTTTTAAGACCGAGAATAAGTAGCACGTTCTCTTACGGAGCCCAGCCCGGGACGGGTTCACCACCGCGACGAGGGGCCGCTCGTCCTGCCACGCTGACAGCAGCTGCGGTAGCACCGTCTCGGCCTTCCCAGCGTGAAACTCGCAGTTGGAAATCCCTGCGGGGCAGAACGGCAAACACACGGTGCAGGAAGAGCCAGAAAGCCGCAAACTCCAGCAAAGTAAACATCAAAGTGTCTCCTCACTGGAGGATATTGGAGAACTGCAGCTGTTTCAGAAAGATGCTACCCAGATCAGCACCAACCGTCCCACCTGGGTGATTCTCCACACTGTCCCACTCCATGAGTTTCCTACATGTTCACCCAGCTCCAGTCTTTGACCATCGCAACAGTAAAACAGGGAGGGAAGGGGCACTCCTCATGCAAGCAAGGAAAGGGGGCAGCTATAGCATGAAGTAGCTCCCATTTTGGGCATTGCACATAGTTCTGAGCAGCCCTCCTTGACTTTTGCTTTGTATTTTCCAAAAATTTGTTTGAAACTTCCTGCAGCGGCAAGTCCAAACTCACCATTGAAGGCCGCGTTCCACCTGGCGTCCTCCACTGCCTTCTCCACTACCTCAATCCCAATAACCCTGGACACTTGGCGAGCCAGAGAGAGACCAATTGTGCCTGGAAAGGAAGGATACAAGAATATTGCAGAGCTCCGAACTGGAGAAACAAGGATGTGGAGAGCAGGGAATGTTCGGGGGCTGCTCACCCGTGCCACAGCAGACATCGAGGAGGACGGTGTCTCCAGCAGCCTGGCTCAGCTTCCCGACCTCCTGGTACAGCACTTCTGCTCCACGCGTGTTCACTTGGAAAAAGGCATCCTGGGAGATGCGAAACTTCAGGCCGAGCAGCTCCTCAAAGATGTGCTGCTCCCCGAAAAGGAGCTGGTAGGGGGACTGCTTGTGGGAACAGCGGGTCATCGTGCTGCGGGGCAAACGCAGGCAGCCCTTAGAAGGCAGGGCTTGCAAGGAATTACTGAGACCCCACGTCAGCACACCTACTTTTAATTCCTGGGAATATTTCAATGGTAAAGGGTCTGTGACTTGCACAACCTAAAATTTATCAGCAGGGTCAAAATGACTCCTAGGATCTAGGATCCTAAGATCCTAGGATTCCCAGTTCAGCCGCTAGCTTGATTTAGTGTCTTGGAAAAGCTCCTTTAGATTTTTTTCTCCAGTTCTCTAGGCTCAAAACTCCGATAAGGTAAAGCCAGAGGGTATTAAAGTATTTTGAGTGCTTCACAATAAAGAAAAGATGTGGCCATCTCAAAGCCATGTTGGCAAAGAAGCCATCCAAGCATTCGTCATTCTCTTGAAGCGCTCCCTGAACTGGCAGAACTTGAGTGTGATCAGAGATGGGTAAGAAAAAAGGATAAAACTTTGCTTTCCATCTTCCATGGGGTCTCTCCTCCATCCCGCAGCACCCTACGAGTTTTAGAAGCATCCACATATTTACCTCTCCTGGAAATAAAGTGAAGTCAAAGCGCAGACTGCTCCGGGTCCGCTAGTGAAGAAGTCCTTCAGCGATGCCTTCTGAGCAGCCAGTGCCTCCTGTCAACAGCAAAAAAAGGGAAAATTGAGTCTGGGGAACCTGCTCAGCCGCCTCTCCCCAGCTGTGCACCCAGCCAGGAGCTGCGGTGCTGCCCGGGAAGCCTCCTCATAGCCCCATGCTGCCACAAATGCCGTGTGCGGCTGAGTGTAGCATGGACACAATGATGCTTGAGCATCATCTCTGACTCTTTATGGACCTAGGATAGGTCCTGGCATCATTTCTTCTGCACCAGGTGTCACCTGGGGACCCTGGTACTGACCAATGTCGATAAATACTGCATTTGTCCATAGGTCTGTGGATACAAAACTGCCCATCGGCGGCTGTTCACACAGCTGAAGTGAAGCCAGCACCCCTGCACGAGGGAGCTCGCTCCAGGCACCCCTCAAAAGCCTCAACTCCATCTTTGGCCTCCCTCATCTTCCCCAGAAGGTGCCGGGACCCGCCGGCAGCGGGACCTCCCCGCGCTCATGTCCTTGCTGCCCGCGCGCTCACCTGGCCCAGCTGCTGGGGGTGGAAGGTGACGATGGCCATGGTGTGACCGCGGCCGGTGGTGCGAACGACGAGCTCCCGCCAGTGCCCGCCGCGGTGGAAGAGGATGCAGGGCTCCAGCGGGGACAGCCGCAGGAACTGCTCGTAGCGCTGCGGCGAGCGGACGCGCTTGGAGCCCCACGGAGGCAGCCCCGGCACCCCGGGAGGCGGCCGCCCCGCCACGACCGCCGCATTTTCCTTCCATGATCTCAATTTGTGCATTTTATGCATTTTAACCCGCTTGCAGGATTTCATTGCCACTTGGTTCGGATGGTTTAGAGGTTCTCACACTAACTTTCAAGTCTCCAAAAATGCTCAGGTGGAAATGTTCACAACATGCAAACACAGAGGCCCTGCATGGCACGAGTGCAGCCTTCCCCCAACCCAGTATCACTGCACCCTCCCTCCACTGAGACACAGATTTTTTTTCTATTTTTCTTTCCTTATTATTACCTGGGCTACTTGTTTGTGTTTCGCAGGTATGTTCACCATGTGGTCAGCCCTCACACAGACGATATTCCTTGCTGGAGAGAGACAGGGAGATGTTTAATGTTCCCTCTCAGGGCAAAGCGAGCGCTTTCCTGACTGGGGGTGAGCGCTGCGGGCTCGGAGCACCAGGCCGGCTTGGATGCAGCGTTCCCAGCTCCAATCTGGAGCTCCTGCAGCTGCAGGAAGCTGCATTCCCACAGCAAGGATGAGCTGCAGAGCTGCCACTCCGATGCTAGTGTCTTATTTACTCCTTCCCTTGCTCCCGCACGCACCTCTGCCAGTGCCCACATACAAGCCCACGGTTTTGGGGTTCCCATCTGGGCCTTGGTTCACCGAGAAGGAAGATTTGTTTCGGTAGCCATTAATGACGGGCTGCCAGGAAAAGGAAGGATAAATAAAAGCCTTGGATTAAAAAAAAATAAATAAGTAAAACCGTAACAAAGGAATGGCACTCACTGAAGGGACGATGGGGCGCAGAGGACAGCAGAGCCCCCCAGGTTTGCGCATGTCCGTGCCCGCTTCCTCCAGGCGAGATGCCAGCACCTGCAGTGCCTTCTCCTGCCTTTGGAACTTCACCTGTGGAGGAGGCCTAAGCTGGGAATGCTCCCACGGGACAGCAGGGAGCTGGCGGTCACCCGGCTCGCATGATCCTGGAGAAACTCGGCCTGTCCCCCACTGCCGCCACGCAGAGCAACTGAGGCGAAACAGGGCCCGTGTCCCCAGAGCTCTGTGTCCAAAGGGGTCTCTGGATCCCATCAGAGGCACTGAAGCCACCGCTCTCCACTGTCCCGTGCTGGACAGGGCCACCGCACAGGAACATGCTGTTTGTCATTGTAGAGGCCACCCATAGGGTTCCTCAGTCCTCTCAGAATAACCGGAGAATTAAAGCAACAGCAAAAGGGCTCTGAACAGGCTGAGGACTCAACAGCAGAGCTTGGAGGGGCAGCCGGGACACAAGATCCCAGGGGATCTTGTCCTTACCTGCAGCTGCTCCGTGTACGGAAGCCTCCACAGCGGAGTGGCCGCGTCAGCCAGCCTGGAAAGTGCAACACGGTGGCAGTGCCCAGCGCTGCCAGCACCGTCCCCGTGCAACCCAGTCCTGCGCTGCCACCCACGGCACGCGGGTCCCGTTCCTATCCAGCCCTACCTCTCTTCCCAGGAGATCCCAGCAGGATCCCAGCCCTCCCAGGCCTTCCTCCTCTCCTTCATCGTCGCCCCGCGGCTCGTCCCCGCTCCTCGCCGGGGAGCGCAGCGCGGGGCAGCGGGGCGAGGAGGGCACCGGGGCACGAGCCCCAGCCCGCGGCGCAGCGCCAGAGCGGCGACAAC